GACGAAATAGAGAAAGAAATTAACAAACGGGTCCAAATCTTATCACCCTGGCATGCATCTTTCCGAAAAACCGTGGAAATTGCTGTAGTCCAACTGTGCAAGCAAATAAAAAACGGCACATGTTTGCACGCCCTGAACTTATTATTAAATTAGAAAACCAAGATTCTATTTTTTCTTTAAATAGAAAGCCGTACTTGCCAGCAACCTCTAGTTGAAACATTTTAAAAGAGAAAAAACTGTCTGTTTTAGCTGTCTCAGCCTGTGTGGCATCAAAACAGTTAATGACACGATGTCAACAACTCACGCGCAGGGTTCGGGAGTCCGTAAAAGAAAATTAACGAAAACAGTGTTAAATTTTGTTTGTTTACACCAACGCGCCGCAATTTTTCTCTAAGAAAATCCCACCCTGAATACAAAGGCTGACAGCAAAATTTGACGATCTTGCCAATTTGTTTTGACCTGCCTTGACCAGTGTTAACTTCGCCAACATCAAGATAACGCAAACTAGATGATGGTGGTTTGGGAAGAAGGAAGAGCGAAGTTAAATGGTTCAAACAGTGTGGATTCTGTTGGACGTAATGCGAATCTTAGATGGGCAAATTTAAACTAAACGGAAGCAGTCTGATGAATTTTGCTGTAGGCTCATTTCAATGGAATGGGTTTCACGGTAGAGGCCCCAGCGACAACAGAGCACCGTCTGATGGTTTCGACGTCAAGAAACACACCACGGTGTTCCCACCCTACACGGTGTTCCCACCCGCCACGCCATATTTAAGTGGGCTCATCCTAACGCGGACTCGGCCTTGAGCTGAGGCAATAAGAGCTTGTTGTGAAAAGTGTTTAGTTACATCCCTTAATCCTGTCGCTCCACCTCTGACACAGGGTTCCTCTTTCGCAGCATGTCACTAGCCGCGCTGATCCTCAACTGCTCCCTCATTCACTCGGATATTTATCTTGGATTATTCTCACACATAGGTCTCGATGTTAGCGCATGTATGACTCACACATCTAAGGCAGAAATACACATGCGCAAATCCCACACACAAAACGACACCAACGTGGTTGAGCTCTGAAGTAAACGGTTGTGTCCACGTCCTCTCCTATCTTTTTCTGCATCGCGGGTATCAGGGAAGCGTAATCGGATTATGGTTAATTCCGTGGCAGCGGCGTGGTTCAAGACCACATGCTGGGGCCCACAACAAGCTCTTTTCTCGAGACGCTGACTTTGGGTGCTAGTGTGAGAAAAGGCTTTAAAGTGGTAAAAAATGGGTTTCGATTATTTGCCCTTAGGGTTTTGCATCTGCCTACCCGCACACCCCTCTTCGTGTGACCAATTCGTGTGCAGAACACCACACAATGGGCAGGCCAGTGCTTATGGCAGCAGTGGAGACACATTTACGCAGCTTGTTTTGGATATGACAGGCGTAGCTAAGAGGGAAAAACAGAATTGTAATAGCACATTTAAGGGAGTCTACTTTTCTCCCTAATTCACTTGCAGTCTGATTGGTCGTGGTTAATGCACGAGAGAAAGCCTCAGAAATCCGCTGCATTTGATTTGTACACCCATTAAGTAAACAAGAGGCTGTAACGTTACACCAACTAACTTAACTCGCTCCCCGTAGAACTCAGATGCCTCTGCTCCGCGATGTTTAAACGTTTTGTTTTACTCTACTCCAGAAATTTGAAGTTTATTTTAAGTGGGTTTTCAAGCTTGAGAAGAATGCAAAATCAGAAAGCGGAGAGAGATCAGAGGGCTTTTAAGAAGGGGCAGGCTAATTAACCAACAACATTGAAAAGCATTCCTTTACAGCATAAAGGAAGGCAATGATAATTGCCTTTTAACCAGACTTCCGACGTACTGATCATGGCCAAATTCAAATAGAATCTACCGATGCATAAACTCAACTAACCTTTTCAGAACAGGCACAAGGTGTTACCCTTAAATGCGTGAAGATTACATTCATTTCAGTGGTTTAACGTCTTTTTGTCGATTTCCTTCCTGTCTCTGTCTTTAAGGCACTCTGATCCAATCTAAAGTTATTCTTTAAAACTAGAGCAAAACTGCATTTCTCACTGCGACGCTTTCGCAAATTTTTAACCCTACTTCAGTAGTTAGATGGACCACTGAAATTGACGATTAATTTTAGTGCAGCTGTTGCCATAAGGTCAAAAAAGCGTGTTTTTTAGAGCTCACAGCATGCCACGTTGGCGGGACTTTGATTAAAATCGAGCCCTTTTTATGAGCTGCCAATCTAGTTTGCACAAAGCTTAACGAGGTAGCATTTGCTTCATATGCGTGGCCAACTACAATGCACCATATCGCTCAAAGGTGTAGCCATAAACTGCCCTGGTTGTATACTCAACTACGGCTTGTATTCTGAACCAAAATAGCAGCCAACAAGGATCTGTTCGGATACGAGAGAGACTGAGTCAATTAAGGGTGCCAACGACGTGTAAAAAGACTACGAGGGTTCGCGATTCTTGAGGTGACAACATGGCTACCGCCTGCGAGTAGTTTGAAGCAATTAGTCTAGAGCCGATTACCAGGGGTGGAAATCCGCGCTCCTGTGTGTGTCACAAGATACGAAAGCGCTTGTGCTTGCAAATGTTGGGAAAACTTACTGCGCCAATCACCACTCAGCTGCACCCGTGAGCTCAATGCAAATTTTTGATTGATCCCACTCGGACGAGTACCTGCGCGTGCGGTTGTGCTCTCGACAAGCTCGCGCGCACACATACGCACGGAGCACGTCCCGTGAGTTGTCGCAGCCCTCTACGCACTGTACCGGCAATTGAACGGTGACAGTTGGGCGAAATCAAATCTTGTCATCTTCAATTGACTCGAAGGAGAAGCGCCGACAAATGCTGCATCAGTTGTGCGCTCTGTGGTACTAAACCACTAACGCACCCCAATAAAATCCGTTGCACTAGGGGTACGTCTAATCACGAGTCCGCTACCACCAGTAACACTGAGTTTTAAGTCGACTCGAGCCCATGAAATCGCTACACATTCACCGTGAGAAGGATTGAGCAACACTGGCCCTACCTTTACTGAGGCCACACACAAATAACACCGCACTAACTATTCGTCCACTCGTTAAGCGCCATTTCAAATTCGTGTGCTCGGTGAGCAAAACTCATTGTGCGACTTCATAATTTTATAGACCTGTTATAAGTTGCGCTGTGGATTTCGAGTAATTGCTCCCGGTGTGTTTTTCTAAGCAGGGGAACCAGAACCTAGTAACCAATCGAGATGGAAATGAACATAACTTTCTGGAGTGTACCGGGACAGGTAGTAAGATTTGTTTTAAACTTGCCAACCCCTTTAGTGATCATCGCAATTTCGTCTCATTTCGAATGCAACCAAGTCAAAGTAGGCTCCTTTTACCAACACAAAGACTAGTCTTAAATTACCAAAGATGAAGTGGATTCTAATTTAATCTCTGTTAATTATTATTGCATAGATTAATAAGGATTTTGACATTATTAAGGATTTCGTGCACGGTCATCGGATGTCGTGCAACAGGGCGACGTCTTTCCCGGTTAAAATAGCAAGATCACACACTTTTAGCTTCATCCGAAATTATAATCGTTTACCGCAGCAGCAGTTGTGCGATCGGGTTTTAGTGCGACTTGTTTTCTTTTTACGTGAACTCGTTCTTGGTCATAGTTCTGCCAACCAACCCTTCGCTATCATTACGCCTTTGCAACGACTTCACCCTAAATGAATTTACTCTGGCAACTAGGAATCGAGGTGCGCATTTGATTTGTGTCAAGTTGGTTTGTTTGTCTTGTGATGAAACTACTCAAGTCAATTATGGGTCAATCACACTGTGAAGAAATGCACTAACACCTTAACTTGTAGATTGAATGCATTAAGATTATGAAACAGAGGCATCCTTCCAATTTTTAGCAAGTTCAATCAAACATCTAAAATCAGCTGATCTACACTTTCCCCTGGTTAAAATTAATGGTCTAATTTTTTACACAAGAAATCACCTCTTCTCATGGTAAAATTAGTGCATCAGTAACATTAAAATACCATAATTTGACGGAAAAGCCGATCTATTCGTAAATTTGGTCCCGTCCTCAATAAGGATAAACAGTTGATCATGGGAGAGGGATGGTGGGTCACTGACAAGCAAATAAGCCACTTCGATTGCCCTATTTATTGCTCATGGGTATCAGACATGATTACCCGCTGGATTATATCTACATGTAACAAACGAGCTGGGTTTTCTGTCGTTAAGCCTATGGGATCGCTTCATTTCCATCCAGTTACTGTTAGCTAAATTATTTTACATTATCAAGTAAGCTTTTGTGCGAGGGTTTTCGATCCTTTCTCAGAAGAGTGTTATTGTGGCATCTCGACCATTAGATCGAAATTTGTGGTCTGCAACGTGAACCTGGCAAATGAAGTTAGCAATACAGAGGCGGAACTGACTGTGTGGCTAGTGATTAAAATAAGTTGGAGCATACATTTAAGTATAATGCAAGGAGACCGGTGTTACCGTGAGTGAATTCATCTTAAGTGAATATATGTACGCAGACATGTATGTTTTAGATGTTAGGGTTGCTCTCTTTGTACAGCAATATCACACACACGCGTATTCGCATTCGCTCAAACCTGGCCGTTTGCGTGCAAGTGCGATGCGGATTGGTTGGGGAGCCGGCAAGCCCATGCGGATAACAGGGTGGGAGGGGAGGGGCGTTTGGATCGATAACATTGACCTAGGTATGTGGGCGAGCTCAAATTACATACATAAACACACACGCGCATATGCACACATTCTACCTGGAGGGGGGAGTAGGGAGGCGAAGGGGTACGCGATTGGGTGATCGTGGTCCCACGGAGTGCATACACAACGGGGATTCGCGGTAGTCAAGGTCGGCGATGTCTAGGAGATTTGAAAAAGTGAAGTACCTAACTAGTCGCGCACTTGAAGGGGATCGAGGTAGGACGTTGTGCAGGGTGTGTGAGTGAGAGGCGATGCTCGATGCTATACAGCGCTTGAGCCCCGGTTTACTGTCTCTAAGAGACGATTAACGTCCTCTTCCGTGCCCGTTATCTTCGCCTGCCTGTAGTTCTTCCAGAGGGTTGCGGTGACGTCCAAGGCGATCAGGTCGCTGGCGACCTTGGAGACGATGTGCAGGATGAAGATGCCGTCTGCTCCGAGACTCTGGTTCACAAAGCGCGTGCAGTCACGCTCCTCCGTGCTCGAGATGAGACGCAGTGCCTTGAGGTACTGCTTGATGTAATAGACGCGTCGGACGGGGATCAGTGTGTTTATGGTCCACTGGATGGTGCTCATTATCGTCAGGGAACAGAGGATGACGAACCAAAACCATAGAAATATGTAGATCTTCTCTACAAAATTGTTTATTGGGAGCACGCATTGAAGAGAGTAGCTGAAAAAGGAAAAAAAAATGGAGGGTTGAGTGAAATCATTCCCTAGGTGACATGGTTTAACGACAAGTTAAACTTTCCACCCAAACAGAATCAAGCAATTTCTGTGTTGATGATTAGCTGGCTGTTTCAAACCACAGAGTTCCACAAGTGAACTTCTAACATCCACTGAGCGGTTCACCTCGGACACGTTCCTGTCCGAGGTTATGTAGGTGCAAAAAGGAGCCGTAGAACAGCAGGGTTGTGTGGTAAGTATAGGCCTGCTGCCAAGGGGCACCCAGTTTCTAAACTAAAACCAGTTGTAGGTTTCACCGAGTACACTGGACGCATTACGTGCCTTTCGCAGCATTGATTTCGATAGGCGTACTCCGTTTATGCATAAAACAACCATGCGTCTAGTGGAAGTCATCATGTGCGTCCAGCTAGTCACTGAAGGTGGAGTTTATAATTCATGAGTGCATTTTTGTCGTGCAATAACTGTCCACTCTTCTGGCCAATGACTCGGTCTAGTCTGCTAGTAATGGTCTCAATTGATTGTACAGGTATAAGTAACTACGAAGAAAGACAAGTAAAAGGTGTCGAAGGTGGATCAAGTAACTTTGAAAGGCGCCAAGCTCTTTGTTTCCTCATGGAACAATTGCTGGCGTAAGTTAGAATTAATGTCAACAATGCAATGAAGTTGGGAAAATTCATTCAACTAAATGGAATCCAGTTTAGATAAGCCTTACGTGGAGAGTGTTAAAATATCCGGTGATGGCATACATATTTAACGTGCGTTCTTGTTAGGCAATTATCTTTAATTGGTTTTTGGCTTGGTCATCCCTGATGCGGACAAAACAATTTAAATGGTGAAGTGATAAAGATGGTCAACTTCTGGGACATCTAGAGGCTTGTGAAGCGTTGTAGTGCAAGTTGGCGCAGAATTTGGATATGGATTCAGGCCCCGGAAGTAGGGGGTTTGTGTGTCTAATAAACAACTAAATTATGAACATTTCTGGTGTCTTGGGAAATCGATAATTGCGATGCTCAGTGCAGAAATGACAAAACTGTAACCCAATATCTCAATTGGACTTGGCTCCATTGTAACTTCAGGTTAATCTATCCTAACCAAACAATTTGCTTGAAACTTCGCTTAATACAGGCATTAAATAAAAAGGTACTGTTAGGATATATTTTTGAGCCAAAAATAAAAAAATATATCACAATATCATCGAAAACCTGTTAAATGTGGGTAAAAGGATAGCATTAATAGAATAAACCCACTAATTGTAATCAATTACGATCAGGTTTCGTACAATAATGAATTAATTTAATACAATCAGAATAACGCATTCTTCGGCCCACTGCATGTGGTTAGACAAACATAGGTCTCACTTAATTTGAGTAGACAAAACCATTGCATAAACCCAAAATCCACACGAGGTTCGATTGACTCGCTCAATTCTCGATGGTGGATTCAACATGTGCAACTAAAAGAGACAGGAGAAGTTCCACCGAATTCGCAGCAGTCCCTTTATTCTATGGGACTTTACCGCCTAAATTGGACCATGGCATCAAAAATTGTGTCGGCCAGAAAAAAAAGCGCCTCGTCTCTAACTCACACAAGCCTAAGAATTGCTATTCGTGAATTGGGAGACACACATAAACAGTGCTTACGAGGACTCCTGTTGGAAAATCTATCGAAAATTGCCTGGATGAAAAAGGAGCTCATATTGGTTTATACATGACCAGATTCTTCCTGTGAAAATGTTGGTCATTGCGGTAAAATGGTCAGTTGTTGTCGTGAATTCTCTAGCACGGCTTAATGTAAGGCAATTCTACACGCAAAGTCCGACAGTTTTCTGGACTCCCCACGACGTCGCAGTCTCGATTAAAGCGCAGGACAGCGACAACCTTATCGCACAGCAACCTAATAGGACTTCTAAAAGTGCTTAAAGTAATTGAACATTTCAGATTTAGCAGATACGAATAGCTTTCATAAACAAAACATTCACTAGCTCATAACTGCAGAAATGTACTTCGGCTGATTGAATTGAAGTTAACACCATGTGACGCGATCCATACGACCGAAAAGTACAATCAGTTAGAGGGATTTATTTATTGGAAAACGAGGTAGAAAAGTGGTCAAGATATGTAAACAACATAATGCAGTGCCTTATGGCCTCCCAAAATGTGCATACTCATATGCCGTTGCGAATGCAAGCAAGCCACGTTCAGTAGGAATGCTAAATACTCCTTTAAAGGCCAAATTTAACAGCCTGGAATTTGTGGTTATGGGAAGAAGGTGTGAATCATATTACTATCATTAGATAAGGGCCACTAAATTCAGTGCTTCAGGTCCCTCGACACCATTTCGCAAACTTATTTTGTTATTTCGAAAAGACTATTTGTGTTTTATAAGTTTTGTCCCAGTAAAATACAACCATGGCACTGGTATTAAAGACACAGTTTGTCACACGCAAGACAAGGGATTTACCAAGTCTTTGCCAAATTAAGAAACACCCAAAATCTGGTGATCCAAAGCCCCAGATGAACGTCCTCCTGAACTTAGCAAAGGAGCCAAAACATGTGTAATTTTAGCTCTTCTACTCCCTCTACTCAAGATTACCTTATCTAACCTAATTAATTATCGTTCAGTTGCGACAACGCTCTTTTTCCAACAATTAATACAATTCATACTTAACTCCCCTTTTTCCGGATTTGTGAGATTAGGAAAATTAGATTGTTAGACTTCTTTGATGTTGTCGACTCATTTAACATCATTATCAATTCGGGCACTGTTTTCATTCCCTACAAAAACTTATCAGAGAATCTTAACGCTGCCGACGTTTGGCGACGACATATCTACTTCAGGTTTTTGTACGTTTTTGGTCTACATTAAGGTTTTGTTGAGACACGTCGAGATTCTGGAGAGCAGTATTACGGAAAATAATGCCCGATGTTACCAAGGGAGCTATTGAATGATCCCCTTTGGTTTCAATCAATTTATTTACAGATTGGGCAATTTGAGATTCGTATAGCCAACTATTAGGTATGTAAGCTGACACACATTGCTACCCAAACTAAGCTGATTATGCTGCCGAATAAACAGCTGTGTTTCCTTATTCATCTATGGATATCAGGGAAAATAAAGTCACACGGCTGTCTTAATTATTATTACGGCCAAAGTACCTTCACGACATTTCTACAGCTAATAGACACTAGTACTGCTGTGTATTTCATGTGGCAATTTGTGCGAGGGAACATGAGACTTTAATGGATGGCTAGCAGTCAAAAGGGTAAACAATTCATAAACATAATTCTATGAGTTAGATGTGAAACAGACACCAAATAAACAAAAATACGAGAATTACCTTCCTTCACATGAACCACCCACATAAGCGTCGGTCTCTAAATCGCTGTAATGATCCTTAGCTACACAACCAATTTGTATTTACTGCTTATAGTCGTCAATTACAACTGCCAACGACTCGAAAATCAAGTTTTATCTGCTGAACGTAATTGCCGAACACGAACACTTTACTAGAATGATTAGACAACAGTAATTTTACTACACGTGTCTTCGCAGTGTCCTACAAAAAACATTAGACCATCTTCATAACTCAAATAATTATGACAGCAGGGCCTATTAAATTACGAATCACACGTGAAAGATGGATTTTCAACAAGCAAAACAACACCACTTACTGATAGCCTAGACCCATCTTATCAAATTCTTATCTGTCAGCGAAACTAAAAACCCATTTATAACTTGACCACGCCATATTCGTTCGTGAAATGAAGGGCTTAGGTGCATAGTTCATCATTAAACGCGATGTCATGTTGTGAGACAAAAATCCAGCTCAAATAGCATAAGTGGCAAAAATAGCAGAAAAAGCAAAACAAAAGAATTATGCAAACCAAAGTCCGGATAATCACGCAATTATCGCTTCCATAGAGTAAACACTCAGCTTCTCAAAGGGATCGCTGACACAAAATGAATGTGGCTTAACTGGGCTTAAATGTGCACACTTCCTTCCACTGTGCATTTGCTTAAACGTTCAGGTTAGAGGTAAGGCTGATTGCTTTAGGAATGTGATCTGGGTAGGGTTAACGTTTGACACCCCTTGATCCGAAAACAGCCAAAACTGGAAAATAGAAGATCTCATTCGGAAATAAATGTCCTCTGAACCGTTTGGCCAAGAAAGACGGCATGATCAGAGAAAGGAAGAGAAATGGGTGGATGTACCATTACGTCAAAACGAGTTTTAAGTGAGGCTAATTAAGAGATTTTGTACTGTATAGCCAGTAAATCTTTACCTCTTATAAGGTGTGATCGATGTCTAGTATACAGACAGGAGTTGCCATGATTTTGTTGACCAAAGCTTCTACGTTTGGGAAACATCCAGTCGACGTAATCCCAGGTTCCACAGTTTCACTGAACGCCTGGCAATGCTCTTAAAAGGACTTGTTTCAGGAACCGCAAATCAGATCTGCGTAACTTGTGATAATGACCCTTAGCGCAACTCGATTTACAAATTTAGAATGCATATATGCATTCGTACAAAATCGAAAATGACAGAGGTCTGGAAGCTAAAAAAAACTTGAGGCAGTTGAAATACGCATTTTACGAAAGTCCACCTTGTTAAAAGTGTTTTCTGGTTACTTTTTAATAGGCAAGCAAGAAAAAATGGCAACTCAACTGGCGCAGTTAGGGAATTTTTGAGAAATATTAATTGTGAGCATTGCTAAGACTAAAGTACACGGACCCATGATGGTTCCTACGTCATTTAATTCACCTAAGGAGTCAGCCGCATTTTAAATTCAAATTCCCACTGCCACGAAGTAGCTCACTAGGCGTTTTTACCACACAACAAACACAACTTCCACAACAGAGATCGTGTAGAATTATTGTAAAAATTAGAGGTTGTTTTAATGTAGTCATTTGAATTTAAAATGTGAATTTACTAAGAGTGCTGTCTATCAGACGATCCCCAGATCAGCAGAATTCACTACAACTGCA